CTGTATCTACAATTGCCTGGCATCCACCACTGCACCAGCCAGTAGCCTGGTTGCCAATGGCAAACCTACAGAAAGAAGAACAGTGAAATTAGGAGACAGTTTTAGGGCTCTTCCGCCCAGAAACACTCACCTATTGTCATCCTGGCAAAGCGGCAAAAGTATGCCAGCTCAAGGAAGTCCTGACCACACTTTGGACCCCTATAATGACTCGGCCACAAAACAGAATAAGGGTTCTATATACACCGATGGTCTGGAGGAGGAGCAGAGTGGGAAATGCCTCCTTTGGTGCACGTTATCAGCAACAGAAGATCTGCAATCAGTTGTCCAATCCCATTTCTGTCCCCACCCCACTCCTGCCACTTCTCTTTCTTCTGCTTCTTCCATCCCTGGCAAGATAAGTACTAGGAGATAAAAGACCCTTCTATGCTCTCCCCTATTTTTCTTGCTATAAGTGGTGACAAATCAAGGGAGAGAAGGAGAGAACACAGACCTTCTCACCTGTTCCTGCATGTGTGAGGCTGCACAGATGCTCCATCAGTATTGACATATAGCAAAACGAAGAAATCTACTACATATGATAAATAAGCCTCTATGGACAAATTCCTATCTGCTACCAGAACAGATTTCCCTCCCAGCTACAAAGAGGGAGAGAGGAGTGAGAGAGAAAGAGGGAGAGGAACAGAGAATTTGAAGTAGCAAACACGAGTAGAGCTATATTCCATGGCAGGAAAATAAAAGTGTTATTTCAAAAATGGAGGGTGGGATTCTCTTCCTATATTTCTGGAAAGGGATGTAGGAAGAGGAAGGGGTAGACATAGTGAGAGATTTAAGCAAAAACAAAAACTGCTATAGATCAAATGGAACTATAAATATCACGTACTCATCAATACCAATCTGCCAGTATGTCTCTTCAGTGAGAGGTGCCCAGGAAATTTCTCCAATGAAGAGCCGATCCAGTACCCCTCCTAAGATCAATTCCCCTCCATACTGAAAGGTGGGTTTCAAATGGAACTATAAATATCACGTACTCATCAATACAAATCTGCCAGTATGTCTCTTCAGTGAGAGGTGCCCAGGAAATTTCTCCAATGAAGAGCCGATCCAGTACCCCTCCTAAGATCAATTCCCCTCCATACTGAAAGGTGGGTTTGCTGAGGGACAGGGGAATGGATGAAAAACAATCAAGGTTAGCCACACTGCTCAAATTTATATACATTAAGCATAAGTTATTGTAGAATCACTAACTCTAATTAACCATAGGCGTTTTCTCTTCAGAATGATCAGATTCTCGCTTTACTCAATGCAATCTGAGTGTTTTTTAAAGGGGTTTCCTTTTCAGGACTCTTGTTCTGAGGTCAGATACATGAATAATTCATGGAAAGGATTCAAACCTGAAGCAGCTGTATGTTAAATCATTTTGAGCATCATGTGAGATTACTTCAACTTCAAAACGCATTTTAAATGTCCCAGATATTCCCCTCTCCTCCTCTCTCAGCCTCAATTATTTTAGAAGTTATCATCAATAGTAGGAATATTAGGAGGAAGCCATGATTTAATTATTCCAAATTAAACTGGCTAGTCTGTTTCCAGACAATATCCTAGATTTTGGTTCTTACCGTGAGAAATAGAAGCTGAAAATGGGTTCAGAAAGCTGTCCTTGATTCACCATCTGCTGCATGACAGTATATGGTCCCATATAAGATAGAGGGGGATAAGCCATTCCCATAATTCCATCAAAATAGATATAATAGAATGGATCGTAGGGTTCATCCTCACTCAAGCCAAACTTCTGGTTCTTAATGACAATATTCTGAATCTGGGGTAGAAGACAAATTATTTTCACCCACAGACAGACACGTGGTAGAAACAGACATTTTAGGAGTTATGTGAAACAAATAATGTGGAACCATAATTGACTGGATTGTCTTTGGAACTAAATTAACTGTCTAGTACTCTGGAAGAATTTACTTTCCTTACGTTTGACTTGTTAATCTGTAATTAATTAGCGGAGGAATCATGAAATAAGTATTTTATTTTTTCAATTTATTTCACCTTGGGTAATAAAATCATCTGTGCAGACACTAAGATTGGGTTATTTACCTGTCACTACAAATCTATACTGAAGCCACAATCTTTCCATTGCATATACCCAGCAGTTATCTGAGCATGACAACTCACAAATTTCCCTCATAAACTTTACTACCATATCTTATTTTATATTTGATTAATCCACTTCTGGAGCAACCTGGGAGGCATCCAGGGGCACTGCCCTACAGATTGCCAAGTGCAAAGCCTTATTTATTAAGTTGGGCTCTAGGGATCAGTTGAGACTGTTTGTACTGTACCAGCCCCCCTGCTGCATAGCAACCTCCCTGCCAGAGTTCCCTGACTCCATGGCCAGGTTGGCAGTGGAGTTCCCCAGGCTTATATTCTTGCGGGACTTCAACTTGTTTATTTATTTATTTTATTCAATCTAGGTCTGAGGTAGCTCATGAGTTCATGGCCACCATGACAGCCGTGAGCCTGTCCCAGGTCATCCAGGGCCCAATGCATAATAGTGGTCATACGCCTGAGCTGGTTTTTCTATCAGGGCAGTGGCAAAGTGTTCTGAATTTGGTGGAGATATTAGTTTCTCCAATGTCATGGTCAGAACTCTGTGGTGAGCCTCAACTTGTGGAGAAGACATGGCAAACTGAAAACCCCTTCGCAAAAGTGGAACTGATGACTGTGGAGAAGACCAAAGAACGAGTGAATAGACCGGTTCTTTGGAGCCTCTCTGGATAAGGAGAAAGATGGGAGATTGCCCACATGTGCTCCAGATGGCTGCTCCTCATGAGGAGACCACAGCACAGTGGTCTTCTGTGGGTTTGAGCACCAGGACATGAAGGGATTAGCCATCTTGCAACCACGGCAGAACTTGTTAAAAGACACTAAGTTTGCAAGCCTCACTTTCTAATCACTTTTGGAAATTGCCTATTAACCATCTTAAAGCTATTAGAGACCTTCAGAATAATAAATTTGAAAAGTCTTCATCAGGTCAGTTTATCATCAGCTCTGAACAAAAGAAAAAAATCCAATTTTAATGTATGTATTCTACTTACTCTGTTGTTTTAAGTATTGCATTTAAACATTACTTTTTGAATCTTGTTATTGTTCATTGTTTTAATTTCGTAAATTAACTTTAGGAGTCCTTGTCTTGAAATCTAGTATCAAAATACTTTAAATAAATACATAAATAAAATTAAATAAGGTCAGTTCATTCTACCAGGA